CAATATGTTCAGTTTTTTTTTTATTAGAGAATTTTCCATATAGGGAATAAGCTACTACCATAGGTCTCATGGTAAGACCTGGACCCGGGACCGATTTACTTTTTCGTTTTGTGGTCCCCATAGGTCAAAAACACCATCCGTTCAAATTCAAATATGTGTCCGTTAGCACGATAACTCGAGCAAAAATGATCCGATTTTAATGAAATTTGGTATAAACGTGTAAATCTACATTTATTCAAACGAGTTTGCGAACCAGCATGATCGAACCATGGGAACAGTAGTTTATGGGGGGTTTTATGGGGTAAAAAAGGGTTTCCCCATTTTTGACCCTAAAAACAAAAAAATTTGCAATTTCTTTCCAAACCATTATTTGTAGAGTTTAAAAAAGAAATAATTTAGTACAGTACCGGTATATTGAAACGCTGTTGTATGCCAAACAGTCACGGAAAAAATTAAAAAAAAGTGTAATTTAAAATTCCCATGTTATTCTTATGGAAAAAAATGAAAACTGTTGTAGTTTACTTGTTTATGGATATATGTTGATAATAACCCCGCCGCAGCAAACCTGCAGACTAAGCAAATTTCTATTTGCCTGATTTGATTTTCAATTAAATCTATTCAAATAAAATTAGGTTTAATAGTACCTAGGTTTGCTGCCTACAGGAAGGGTAATAAAGTGTGTTTAATGTAAAATATTAATAGCTTAGTACTGAGCCATGACTACTTTCTACCGGCGAATGTAACGACTCATAATCAATGGTCAAATTGTTTTTTTGTATAGTAGTTTAGTATGTGTTCGACTTGTTACTGATCCAACGACCCTCAATGACTCTGTGCATCATGTTTTTCTTATTCCTACCGTGAAGAGGTAGAGGCTCCGAGATAGTGCGACTATTGACATCGTTTTGTTTTCTGTATCGTATGCCATCCTTTTGGATAAAACGTTTTATGCCTTTTTGGCTTTTATTTCTCCACCTGTAAGATTTATTGACTACGATGCTGTAATTTAAGAGCACCCAGCACGCTTGATGGGGCCCAGGAGGACTACCGCCAACTTTAACACCTGGAGCATGAGCGGAGAACATTTTTCATCGTGGGGCCCTCTTTTGGGACTCTGGCCGGCCAGCTCCGTCCAACTTCAGCGGCCCTCCAGTGTTGTGCGCCTGAAGACCCTTGAACCGTTACCATCTAACCGCAAGTTACCTGAGGATCGTTTGTTGTTATATTTATTTTAGTTATAGATTTATTTATTCAAAAAATATATATTTTTATATAAAAAAGGAAGAGACTCTATTTATAGTTAATAATTATTGTTATGCATAAACATATAGTTTATTAATTGTTATTGTTTTTTTTTTATTCTAGTCCTGCTGGCCTACTTGTTGACCTTTAAAATTGTTATATTTATTCAAATCTTTTCTACAGTTTTATTTTTGGGGCCCCTAAATTTTAATAGTTACCTAGATCAAATGAATTTATTAAAAAAGGAAATATATATATATTGTTGTAATTGTTAATATTTAAAGGGTTTTAAAGGTTATTAAATTCTTATTTTTGAAATTAGGCTATTTGAAGGGTTGAAGAAATGATTGTAAGTTAGTAGGCTAGATGGGTAATTTAAATATTTTTATTTTTGAAGTTTTTTGAGAGCTGTTTTTCATGTATGCTTGTTAATATTTGTTGTTGTGTATTTAAATTGTTCATTACAGATCGTTTCTCTCAAATGGCGCGTTGTTCTTGAACCTTCCTCCACGGTTTTTCATGTTGTTGTAAAAGTTTTGTGAGCTGCTCCCCGGGCCTACACATGGAATCACGCTTCCAAGTCGTTAGCCTGGGTGTGGGTACGGGGGGCGTGGCTCAGTACAAAATAAATAGATTTGCCAGGTTTGATCCAAATATATCCATAAACAAGCAAACTACAACAGTTTACTTATTCTCCATAAGAATAAAATGGGAATTTTTAATTTATAATTTTTTCCGTAACCATCAATAATCATACAGAAACACTTCAATATACTTAATTATTTGTTTTTTTAAGATCTTCAAAATGGTCAAGAGAAAATTTGGGAAATTTTAAGTTTATTGAGGGTCAAAAACCAGAAAACCCAATTTTTACCCCATAAATCCCCCATAAAACCCCGTTCCCATGGTCCGATCATGCTGGTTCGCGAACTCGTTCGTAGGTTTACACGATTTGTACCAAATTCATTTACGTCAAAAACATCTTAAAAATATTTGACACTGACTACCAAACACCCTCAAAGAAAGTTCTTGGAAACCTAATCAATTACCTCCTGATTATCCAATCGAACAATTTATCAATGTATAGTAACATCAAATTTATCAGATCCTTCATTTCCCGACAGTTTGCCCAAAAACAAAAATCTTACAAATCAAGAATTCAAAGCAATCAGATCCTTACAGAAAAACCAAAATATTGTAATTACTTCCTGCTGACAAAGGAAACAAGCATATAGTTATTTTAAACAAAACTGATTTTATTAACGAATGTGAACGACAATTACAAGATTCTTCAACATATAAAGAGCTTGAAGATGACTGCTCCATAAAATTCAACGAAGACATAAAAGAATTTATAGAAAAATGCGGTCCAAATGAAAATTTATCTTTGAAAACAATTGATTTATTGACACCTTACATGCAAAAACTCCAGTATTTTACACTCTCCCTAAAGTGCATAAACCATCAAGACCAACACCAGGAAAACCAGGAAGACCAACCAATCGTCTCAAGTATTGGATCACCAACTGAAAGAATATCTGCCTTTGTTGATGAACATTTACAGCCACTAGTACAAAATTTACCATCCTACATAAAAGACACTAACGGCTTTCTAAACAAAATTGCAGTTTTAAACCTCCCTCAAAATTCAGACTTATTACTTGTAACAGTTGATGTTGAAACACTTATATTCCCCACGATGATGGTCTGAAGGCTGCCAAACACTTTCTTAACTCTAGACCCACAAATTCTAAACCTTCTACAGATTTTTTGGCAACTCTCATTCAAATGATACTAACCATGAACAATTTCAGATTCATGGACAAACACTTCTTACAAATTAAAGGCACAGTGATGGGTACACGAACAAAGCCCTTTTTTTTAAGACCTTCACAAAGTAAACCCACATCAAAACCCTAAATGCAACCAACTGGTCTTAAGGAATTCTGAATTGGCTCACCAGTTGGTACTGAAAACAATGTTCCCCTCTGGTTTAAATTTAAGATAGTAAAAAAGTGATTCAACTCAGCTAAATTTTAATTTTCTTTTAGGCTGATTTTATTATTTTCTTTTATCTGTACTCAATCATATGTTCTCAAAATTCAACTACTGTATTTGTAACCAGTTCATATTTGTTTGTTTTGTTCATTTTTACATATTTCATTAATTTCTCTTTGCTTGAAAAGTTTGTATTAAACGAAAATTTGCAATGTTTCATGTCTCATTTATCATAACGCTAACAAGAAATCCTCAAGAATAATATACAGGGTGAGTTTCTACTGACCGTGTTAACTTCGCCAGTGGGTTCTACTCACTAAAAGGAACAAAAAAGTTTATGGGAAGGTATGTCCGAAAATCCATATTCACCCAGATATCCGCCATTTTGTTTTTTTTACAAAAATATTTTTATCTGTGAAGTTTTTTATTCGACGATTATGAAACTTGGTAAACATGTTACCATACACAAGACCTATAATAGAAAAAATAATAAAGTTGTTCCGATAGTAAATTTCAAAATGGCGGCCGTTTGAATTTTTCTAACTTAAATAACTCGAAAACGGCTAATTCTATGAAAAAATGTCAAGAATACAAGAATGTTAAGTTAGTCGGGGAACCCTTAATTTTTGCCTTATTTTTACACAAAAACCGGTTTATTTCAGTTATCTTTTGTCCGATCTTTTTGATCTTGGTATTGTTTGATAAGAAATTAAAAATGCTAAAAAAAAGTATTCTTGACATTTTTTCATAGAATTAGCCGTTTTCGAGTTATTTAAGTTAGAAAAATTCAAACGGCCGCCATTTTGAAATTTACAATCGGAACAACTTTATTATTTTTTCTCTTATAGGTCTTGTGTATGGTAACATGTTTACCAAGTTTCATAATCATCGAATAAAAAACTTCACAGATAAAAATATTTTTGTAAAAAAACAAAATGGCGGATATCTGGGTAAATATGGATTTTCGGACATACCTTCCCATAAACTTTTTTGTTCCTTTTAGTGAGTAGAACCCACTGGCGAAGTTAACACGGTCAGTAGAAACTCACCCTGTATACAGGGTGATTGATATAAGTGTGCCAGCCGTTTTATTCGAAAACCATAAGAGATATCAAAAAAAGTTAAATGGTAAGTGCCTTGGGCTTTTTATTTAAAAAATTGCAGTAAAGTCGAACAAATTATTTTAGCCGCCATTTTTCCAATATGGCCGCCAACTTTGATTTTTCTTACGGAACACCCTGTATTTTTGCATGAGAAAGAGTTTTGATACAGGCCTAAGCAAGCATGCCAGCTGTTTTATTCGAAAACCATTCAAAATTTCACAACTTAAACCATTATTATCTTTGAAACGGTTAGGTTTATGAAAAAAATCACAAGAATAAAATCGTCTTAAAATTACATTTTCTACCAGAATACATCATAAAATACAGGGTGTTCCATAAGAAAAATCAAAGTTGGCGGCCATATTGGAAAAATGGCGGCTAAAATAATTTTTTTCGACTTTACTACAATTTTTTAAATAAAAAGTCCAAGGCACTTACCATTTAACTTTTTTTGATATCTCTTATGGTTTTCGAATAAAACGTCTGGCACACTTATATCAATCACCCTGTATATGAATTTGAACGGATTTTGTTTTTGGCCTCTGGGAACATTAAAACAAAAAGTAAGTCGGTTCCGGGTCCAGGTCTTACCATGGGACCTACGGTAATAGTTTATTCCTAAAATGGGAAATTTGCTAAAAGCAAGTGTTGCAGTACCTGGTATCATTGCTAGAGATAATGCTGTCACTTCGAGAGTACAAACGCCATTTAGAGGGATGTTTGGTATTGACTTTGAATACTCTGTGATGGTGAATCACACCCTCTAAACTGAAAGGACACTGAAACATAAAAATATTGTTTTATATATATATACTAGCAACAGAGCCTGTTGTAGTTAAATACAACGGTCTCTAGTAAAATAATGGTTATGAAATCCATACACCACTTTTACTCACTAATATTAATGGTACAGATTAAGCACATAACATTATAGAATTTAGTTTTAGATATATTTACTCAATTCTAATTACGTTATTCTATTTGTTTTGACCTAAGAACCTTCAGTGAAATACCATCTTCCATTTGATTTATTGATTATTAAGATCGGACGTACCTAAAGCACACTTCTAAATCAGGAACAACCCAAATTGTTCAAAAAATGGAGTTATTTATAATCGATTTATAGTCAAACGATCTTGCTTGCAACCTCTACAGTAACTGTCGACTTTGACGGGTTTCACCTAGTAAATCTTTAAATACCCCCGCCGCAGCAAACCTGCCGACTAACCGACTCGTTTTCCTCCTTTCAAAGCACAGACGAGAAGGAAGTTAAAATGATTATAAACAAACTTAAAGCAAAAAACTCGTCTGGAATTGATGAAATCTCGTCAAAAATACTTAAGTATTGCTGCAACGAACTAGCACTACCATTGGCTGATTTGATAAATAAGTCCCTAAAACAAGGCATCTAAAACGAAAAAGTTGTTTTAAAAAGACTTTTAGACCACTGCACAAATCACAACCTACTAAACAACCTGCAACATGGATTTACAAAAGGAAAATCCACAACAACAGCAATAATTCAGATGGTTGAGTCCCTGATTGACAGCCTAGATGAAGGAAATCTAACAACAGGAATCTTTCTTGATTTCAGTAAGGCATTTGACTGCCTTGACCACCAGCTAATCATTAAAAAGCTGGATTCCCTGGGGGTGTCAGGGATAGTAAGAGAATGGTTTCAAAGCTACCTTATAGACAGGAGTCAGTTTGTAGAACTAAGGCACAGAGATAACAGCCTAATAAGAAAAACAAGATCAAATTTTCAACCAATAAATCGAGGAGTTCCCCAAGGGTCAGTTATGGGTCCGGTACGGTTTATTCTTTTTACCAACGATTTGCCGCAACAAATAGGAGACGCCTGCCTTACTCTTATGTATGCTGATGACACAACCTTAGTGTTTAATGAACCACTAGCTGAAAATCTAGAAGTAAAATCCTATTTGTCACTCAGTATGGTCTACCAATACTGCTATAACAATGATCTCGCACGTCTAAAACAACTCAAATAGCTTTTGGCCGTAAATCTCAAGAAGTGCCACGACTCCCAGATGTAGAAGTGGAAGATGAAGCTAAGTTTTTGGGCATCACACTCGACAAGAATTTAACCTGGACCCCTCATGTGGACAATATATGTAAAAAATTAAGTTCAACCATCTATGCTCTTAAACATATAAAAAATGCAACAGATGACATGACAACAAAAGTAGCATACTTTGCACTTTTCGAGTCGCATATGAGATATGGACTTGTAGCATGGGGTGGAACCTCTGCCACTAACATGCAAAGAGTTCTTAGAAAACAAAAAAAGGTAGTCAGAATAACTGCAGGACTCCACAGACTCGACAGCTGCAGGGAAGCATTCAGGTCACTCAAAGTACTTACCCTTGTAGCACTCTACATCCAGGAAGTTGTGTTATTTGCAGTAAGAAATAACCCTACAAGGCGTGGCAAAATGCACCAACACAACCTGAGAAACACCATGCAGTACAACCTTCCACAACATCGCACGGCACAGTTTGAAAAGAAACCTTCATACGCAGGAATGAAAATCTACAACAGGCTACCTCCAGATCTAAGAAGCAAGTCAGAAGATGACCTCAAACCGGCTTTGCATCAATGGCTCATTAATCGACCTTTCTATTCCTTAGAAGAATACCATCAACAGGTCTTTGACTAAACAACACCTCAACCACACATTTAGAAAAAATTGTAAATTGACGCTACTACTATTCTTAATGAATGTGTAAATAAAGATTAATTGTCTATTGTCTATTGTCTATTGTCTAAGCGAATTTCCATTTGTCTGAATTGATTTTCAATTAAATTTATTTAAATAACATTAGGTTTAATGAGTACCTAGGTTTGCTGCTACAAGGAAACTAATAAAGTGTATTTTTTAGTAAAATATTAATAGCTTAGTATAAAATAAACAAGTTTGATAAAAGTATATCCATAAACAAGCAAAATACAACAGTTTACCGTCTTCTCCATAAGAATAACATGGGAATTTTAAATTTATTTGCCGCGAGGGATTATCAAAATTTTCCGTGATCGCAGATGACAAGGGTGATATCTACAGAGCCGCGAGGGATGATCAGAATATTGCCGCGATCACGGAAGGCGATGATAATGTCCACACCAATGCAGGAAACAGCAAGAATTTTGCCGCGATCGCATAAGACAATGATGAACGCCACACGACTGCGGGATATGATTAACGTTTTGCCGCAATGGCGGGAAACAATAATAACAATGTCTTCATGACCGTAGGAGAAGGTTATGATATCTACAGAACCACGGGAGATACAATCTACACGGCCGCGAGGGATGATCAGAATTATGCCGCAATCGCGCAAAACAATGACAATGATTTCAACTCCTCGGGGATTGGTTTGCAGTAAATGGCCTGTCCATGAATGTGGCAAAAACTGAACTAATTCAGTTCTCTACATCCAATATTAACCAAGAAATAATTGTAAATACAAACTTAACTACAATTCATTCACAACAGTCAATAAATTATTTGGGAATAGAAATCAATTCACAACTAAATTGGCAAAAACACATTAAAAACCTATCAAAAAGACTACGCTCAGCAACATTTGTTCTCACAATAATTCGGGATACTACTAATCTAGAAACACAAATAGTAGTATATCACGCATATTTTTCATCGATTATGAATTATGGAATTACTGTATGGGGCTCATTTAGCCAGGCCAAAAAAATATTTATTCTCCAAAAAAGAGCTGTAAGATTAATGGCCAGAGTCTCCCGTAGAACACATTATAAAGATTTATTTATTCATTTTAAAATTTTAACTTTTTTTAGCTCTTATATTTACAAATTGGCATTAATGGTTAAAAGTGATTTCGACACATTCATGGACTGTCAACAATCTCATCCACATAACACAAGATTCAAAAATATTATAAAACAAGTTCAACATAGGCTTAAAATCTTTCATTTATCCCCTCAGTATATGGGGAAAAAATTTACAATAAATTACCCGCTGGGATTAAAAACATTGCCTCATTCTCTAAATTTAAACTACCGTATCTCTATAGTTATTTGTGCAACTAGTGAGAAAAGTGAGCAATTGACTCACTCGAGAGACATCCTTACTCACGAGCCGTAGGCGAGTGAGGAATGGTTTCTCGAGTGAGGCAATTGTACTTTGAACGAAATAAATAAATGATAATGCCCACATGACTGCGGGAAAAGATCAGAATTTTGCCACATTCGCGGAAGACGATGATCTATATTCTATACAATACATGGCCGAGGGAGTGGGAGATGATTACCATTTTACTGCAATCCCGGGAGGTGATTACTATGTACAAACGATCGCGGGGGACGATATAATGATGTCTTCACGGCCGCGAGGGGTGATCAGAATTTAATGGCGATAATGCAAGACACGATGATAATGTCCATACAATCGCAGGAAAAGTTCTGAATTTTGCCTCATATGCGGAACACGATGATGATCTTCACAAGATGGCAGGAAATTATTGCCATTTTGCCGCAATCGCGGCAGGCAATTGCTATGTACAAACGACCGCGGGGAACGATTAGTGATGTCTTCCATGCTGCGAGGGGTGATCAGAATTTTGCCTCATTCGCGGTAGACGATGATAATCTCCTCACGACCGCGGGATATGTTCATATATTGCCACGATCATGGAAGGCAATAATTATGTCTACACGACCGTGGCAAATAGTCAGAATTTTGCCTAAATCGCGGGGGACAGTTGCGACGTCTAAACGGCCGGGCGGAATTATCAGAAGGATACTGCAATCATGCAAATACAACCGCCAATTTTTTTTATTTTCCAATTTTTTTGCGCCCCCAAAAAAGCCAATTGCCACATGCCCTAGGCCCAACCATGCCTATTCAGTAAATCAGCCCTGTTGAGAGGTTCATTGACTATAATGAGAAAACATTTATATGGCAAACATCAAAATTAATCAGTGTTATAGCTGTTATAGCCCTTCAATATTTTAAGTGTACATTTTTTTCTGTGTCATTGGCAACCTTATTTTTTAAGGCAGACGTATTTATTTTTATAAAGAAATTCTTTATAAATGTACAAAATATAACAACAGCATCTTTAATTCAGCATTTTCTCACCACTATAATAAGGAGGTTGCTTTACGTATTTTGCAATAAAGGCAGCCTAAAGTTGGCTACAAATATAAACTTGGGGAAAAAAGTCGTTTTAAATGTATCATTTTTTTCACCTCAAATATGTAATAAAATCAAACTTTCATAATTATTTGCAAATCTACATGAATTAGGCTTTCCAACGACCCATTAAGTAACAAAATCGGTCTGGAAAAACCACAATATCTTCATCTTCTCTGTTTCTCTACCCGGATCAAGGGTAGAACAACTAGCTTACTATAATTGATATGACAAAGTATAGTCATAGAGCTCATGGTGGAAGTAAATAAGGTGTGCTACTCAGCCGGACGAGTTTGAGACCGTTCTGCGCATCGTGATGTGACGTCACCTTGGGGGCAAACCGCTTCGCGCGCGTATATAGCTCAGCGTGACACTGCTCTATTAACATCAACATTTTGAACTGTTAGAATTGAGGAAAAATTATGAAACTTGACATGGACGTCAATTATAAGTAGACGATGCGTGTTGTGAAAAAATAGTTTGTTATTTTTAAAAACTTAAGCGTGAAATCACTCTTTATACTTGGCCTTTCTTAAAACTAAACATGTAAAAGTTAGTCGGCTACCAAATCACGGACTATTTGGTTAGAAG